TTTTCCCAATAAATTCACTTTTCATCGAGAGAGATATGACAACGTCCGGAAGCTCATACGACGGTTTCCCTTAGCATAGCAGTATTCTATCTAGCACGATTTTAGCACAGTTATTTGTCCATTTATCCTCCTAATCGATCCGTCGGGCGTTAAGCTCTGCCCTGGCGGCTCCAGTCCCTCGCTACTTTCTACCAGTGGCGTGGCGCGCTTTGCGATATATCGATTGTTATGCAATTTAAACCTATGGAAAAGGATCGATAAACAGGGTGCTCGCAGCGAACACCTTAATAATCGATTCTTTACCATAGGTTTAAATGGCATAACAATCGATACATCGCAATTCACGCCACGCCACTGCTTTCTACCCGCTCCAGAGGCGAGAATTGAATCATTGATAGCTCCCCGTTCGAAGCTGTGGTGGAGAATCGATTATCAAGGTGATATCGATAATCGATACTTTCCCATAGGTTGGAATGGCAGATCGTTCAGTCGTCGAAAAGAACGACGCGCCACTGACCCGCGCAAAGTACTGCCCAGCTTACTCGCACACTTTTCAGCTGCGTCCGCGCGCACGTAGATGGCCGAGGACCCAACTTTTACGACTCGATTGACTCTTAATCTGCCGTGCTAAGGAAAAACGCCGTATGAACTTTAAGACGCTGCCAAATTTCCTTTGATAAAATTCGAATTTATTGTGAAAGTTGTAAATATTTTTCTTCCAATTTTTCAGGTAATTTTGTTCAACATTCGATCTAAAATATCTGAAAATTTCAATAAAAAACACCCGTAACTTTCTTTTAAAATACATATTTAATCGGGGTAAATTTGGCAACGTTCGAATGTTCATACGGCGTTTTTCCTTAGCACGGCAGTAATGCCCAGTGGCAGATACAGAGCGAAGCCTAGCCTAAAGGAGGCACTTGAAAAATTGACTCTCTTGTCGAGGGATATCTTTCCGGACTGTTGGATGTTTGTGGGGGGCAATTTCTTGGGAAATTTCGAAAAATTAAGATCAAGATCCCTTTGATCAAAATTATGTGCGGCATTGCACCTCGACAAACTCTTAAGTAGGGACCAAGATTTTTGTTGGCTGGGGCCAAGATATTTACAGCCACCGGGAATTAGGTCCCAGATTCTGATATTCTCAGTTTCAGCCAAATTTCTGGAGGTGCGAGTATTTTTCCTATGAAATGGTGCTGAAGGTGCTACTGTAAAGTTGCTGTTGCTGAGGACCTACCGTCAGCTCTGTCTAAACTTCGATATTTCTCCTACCGCTAACTCTAAATTCCAACCAAACGGGCAATAAAGCAAAAAACACGTTATTCTTAAAATGCTCGCAGTATATTCCAATTCCCACCTACTTTTCTAGTAGAAGTTACCGTGTTATATTTGTGGAAATGATTCTTTTACAGTCCTGGTAATGATGCAACATTTTGACCGGGGCCGACCTTGCGTCTTGCGTTGTTTTAAAGTCGTGCCAACTTATCGCAAACAATTGGTGCCCCCTTTCCCCAACGCATATTTATCATTTTATTAAAGAAAAAAACCAGTTGTTCTGACAATTTGATCCTCTAAAAAAAATCTCGCTCAGATGTAAAAAAAAAAAAAAAAAAAAAAAAAAAAAAAAAAACATTTTTTCGGTGTAATATTTTCAATTTGCTCTCCAAGTTCTCACTACTCCAGCGAATACAGGGAGATCGAAAAATCTCGTACCAACAGCATCCAACGTCACCCCTATAACTTTAGAAAAAATTAAAATGTAGGCTTGAAATTTTTTGAATGCTCCTAGGTCAAAGAAAGCGACTTTCGAAGGCCTCAAAAATTTTAAAGGGACAATCCCTAAAAGAGGCAAAAACCCTAGGAGATGCGAGAATTTTAGATCACCCTGTGTTTTGGTTTACCGAGCAGAGTAACGTGAGCCTGAGCGGACGACCGGCGAATAATCCTCGGAGGAATTTACTTTCTCTTTCCCTTTTTTCATTTCATCGATTAATCAAAACCAAGTTTCGCGTCTTGCGATGGATCAGATTCTTTTTCCCCTTATAATTGCCTCCTGTAAAAAACAATGATGTAAATAAAGCATATGCAAATATTTTCAAACCCAAAGATCACGATTGCATTCCAACTTGGAACTTTGATGTGGAGATAAGACTTCGCACAATAGATCGGATCAATAGGAGAGGTCGGACAAATTTTGGAAACTTTAAACGCATATAACTATCCGTTTATATAAACAACTTTAAGGTTATCCATTGGTTGGAGTGGCTCCATTGGTTTTTTCGGGAAATTTGCTACTAGCAGCACCCCTTTACGTTTAAAATGTGACGAAATGAACATCAAAATTTGCAGTTTTAGTCAAAAATGTGATGTCCGACCTTTCTGATTGACTCGATCCATTGTGCGTCGTCTCCCGGACGAAGGAACATACCACTATTCTTAGTTTGCTCAAATGACTCGCTCAATTAATTTACTTTACAAAAATGTTCCTGTGCAATTTTTTTCCAACATTTTCTGATTTTTGAATGAAATCTGAGGAAAAAACAGTGAAATTTCAATGCCCTAAATTTTTCTGATCAATATGCAATTTGCGAGAGGAACTTTGGCAACATTGAAATGGAGCAGTGGCGAGGCGTGAATGATCGATCATCGATATCTCCATATTTGAAGCCATGATGAAGAATCGATCGTTAAATTGTTCACAAAAATTATAAAATTCTACATTTATCTTGTCACAATTTTAATTTTAAGGGGTGCTCCTTACAGAACATTTTACGAGAAAACCAATGAAACTACTTTTAAAATATCAACATTATGTTAATGAAACACGCTTGCAAAGTTTTAAAATCGTGTCCGACCTCTCCCATTCACTCGATCCACTGTGCGGCGTTCTCGATTAGCTTTCCATTCCTAAAAACATGCAGAATTTTCCGTTTTTGGTTCGTTATAGTTCAAGTATGCTCTCCACTACACTCAAGAGCGATGAGGAATGATGGAGGACGTAGGTACGGGTTTTTAAAAGTGATTGATATTTAGATGATTTTGCACGCAGTTTTTTCAAAAGTAACTGTGCAAAAACACTGATTTCCTCTACTCTATTTCCAGAGAGCCATACGTGAAATATTTATATTTAGAACCCAAGTATTTAGAGGTTATAAAATAATATGTTCTCAACAAGTCGAAGATCTGAACAGAGCTGACCCATTTAAAATTAGAACAAATTATCGAGGCGCAAAGAAATATTTTGACACTGACAAACGACGCATGAAATCGAAGGAACTCGTATTCGACGAAAATCAAAGGAGAAGCTTAACTCCGCGGAATTTAAATATAAATTAACTTTTCGTCGTGAAGACCACCTATCTGTATTGACATTTGAACATTGAAAGCGGCGAAATCAAATTATCAGCGGTTATTCCCCCGTTTGTCTCAGAAATCGAAGTCGGTCGAAATCCGTCGCTCGGCGAGATACAAAGGAGGAGTGTTATTTCATGCGAAAAATCGAGACAAAAAAATCAATGAGCAAAACACCAGTCCGCCCGGCTCTCTGTAATTCGATACGAAAAAGCTTCGGTAAATACGGTGGGAAACAGTGGCGTGGCGTGAACAATCGATTATCGATATTTTCCTCATTTGAAGCCACAGTAAAGAATCGATTATTAAGGTATAACCCTGTTTATCGATTCTTTTCCATAGGTTTAAACGGCAGATCGATCGATGAATCGCAAAGCACGCCAAGCCACTGGTGGGAAAGACCGGGTTACGACAAATATTTCCCTCCTTTCAGAAGGGCCGAATATTGGCGTGTTCGCACATTTCACTTGTCGCTTTTCGCGGGGAAGATATGAAACCAGAACTGACAGCCAGCCCAGGCTAACCTTTCGTTTTTTTTCCCAGACAGTTTGTCCCCTCAGAAGCAGACGCTTCGCGTGTGCCACATTGCATATCCATTTGCATTTTATCAAGCCTATTTTTAATTGCACCACGTTTTTCACCCAGGAACTTTTATTTGGACGTATTTCTGTCAAACGGAACTATGTGCATAATGACGTGAGCCCTGTTATGCATGTATTCTTATGGGTCTCGGGGCTCATGTCTTAAGGCACATAGTTCCGTTTGACAGAAATACGTCCATTTCTGCTTCATTTTAGAAGCGACTTATCAGGGACTTGGAGAACAAGGCGCATATGTGCAGTTTTTGAAAAAAATTGAGATACCTACTACTGGTTCTAAGTAAAACTAATTTTAATGCACATTCTGTGAGAAATTCACTCCCAAATTCCAATATTTAAGCATCATAAAGTCAGTTTGAACTTTCTTTCCGCCATGAGGATACATGTAACTTTGAAACCTCAAACACTTATTTCTCGGAATAGCAAAAATTACACTTAAGCACCTTGTCCTCCAAACCTCTCATATAAGCCATTAGTTTCCTCGAGTAGATAGGTGCTTTTATGGATAAGCCAGAAATAATACACAGAAAAAAAATATTTGAATTCTTGTGTTATTACTAGGTAATAACACACGAGACTATTCAGATGTAATGTTCATTTAGGAACAGATTGCCGATTGCCTTGAATTTAGTATCTGTGGGAAACAATGGGAAACTCGGAAAACCTCAGAGTCAACTGAGGGCTTAAGGTTATTTTGTGTCTCTCTCCCTCTCTCTCTTGTGTATTTTGTGTCTCTCGATATACTCCCTGAACTTTTGAATTACTTATTTTTATGAGTGTAGTTACTTATTGCGAAAGGCAATCCATTTGGCTATTCATCTATTTACGGATTCCTCATTGTGACATAGCTAGCTGTCTAAAAAAGAGACATCTTTTAATACACCTCAAAAGACGCACAAAGTATATCGCAGTGGTAGTCTAGTATGACCAGTTTTATTCCAATCATTTCCACGCTATTTAGAAAGTGGCCTTATTAATAATCGAATTCAATGCATATTTTGTCGTCTGTTTTCCGCTTTTTAATTTTCTACTTTTGTATCTTTTTTACAGAATGGATTTGTTCAGTGTCAAAAAGATCCCTGCCCGGGTCAAGAGGGCTGCCACATGCTACTGGGGGAGACTACCACGAACTGCTCATCGTGCTTCAAGTGCAAAGGTAATTGAATTTTCTTCGCGTTATTGGACCTCATGAGGGTTCTTTCAAAGGTTCAGACTGAGATACCCCCATGTATGTACGACCAAATAGAACTATGGGAGTTGCATGTTTTATAGATATTATGTATTTAATTTATTTCTACTTCGAAGCTCTTTTTATGATGAATACGTTCAGACAATTTTGTAAAAAACGTGATCACTCCATGCACTTCCGTAAGCTAATCAGTGGCATGGCGTGCTTCACGATATCGTCACTTTCCAGGCAAAGTATCACAAGCGCCATGCGACGTTTAAAAATTTCCGCCGCCATTATATTTTTTTACAGAGAAATTGTTCAACGAAGCTGTCCGAAAATTACACTGAATTTTCTTTGTGCTGCCGATAAAATCTAGTAAAATTTTCAAACAGATTCAACCAACAATTTCTCCGTAAAAAAATAAAATGGCGGCGGAAATTTTTAAACGTCGCATGGCGCTTGTGATACTTTGCCTGGAAGGTGACGATATATCGATTGATCTGCCATTTAAACCTATGGGAAAGGATCGATAAACAGGGTGTTCGCAACGAACACCCTAATGATCGATTCTTTACCATAGCTTCAAATGGGGAGATATCGATAATCGATCATTCACGACTGAAGCGAATCCGTGACACGAATGGGACCTCCTTAGAGACGCCAAACGCGTAGCCTAAGTATCGGCATTAATCAGTCTTCAAGTGTGCGTTCATCGCCGAATCTACAAATGGAGCATTAATTCCCTCTGGAGAGTCCTTTCGGAGTTTGATTTATGCGCCGCGCCACCCTCCGCCCGATAACTGTCGAATTTCGATCCATCGATGTCTCGCGAGTCTGTCGGATGTGTCTGCGTCGTGCGTTCAACGCACTAACCCGCGCGCGGTCACAATGGCAAATCTTCGAAATATGGCGGTACCAATTTTTTTTTTTGGGGGGGGGGGCAAAGACTCAATGGTTTCCGATATCATTTCCGATTTCTTAAAAGTTCCGGGGAAAAAATCCGAAATATGCACGGATTTAGTTCCGAGGATAGTCGAATTCTTTTTTTAAAAAATCATCAAATTTGATCGAATAATCGTTCAAAAATCCAGAAAGTACAAGCATTTTTCGAAAAATAGCTGAAACTTCCGGAAAGAGTTCCGCTTATTTGAAACATTTCGAAGTTCGGAATAATTCCAGAAAATGGCAGCGCTGAGGTATGAACGGTAAGGTGCTCCATGCATACCACCTGGCTCAGGGCCGTCCTGAGGGTTAATTGGGCTACATTTTTCAATTAGGAATTACAACTTCTGGCTTAGTTTAGAAACAACGTATCTACCATTAATTCCTCTATGCTTTTGAGTTTTTCGCGAATGAGCCAGAAATTATAATTTATCCTAATTGCAAAAATTTCGATTTCGAAAATTCATCTGTAGTATGTCATGACAACCCTGAAATCGTACTCTCCTCCTGACACAAAAATTACAGACGGTTTCCGTTTGACGTCCCATCTTGATTTAACGAGACAGGTCGGCCATAGCCACGCGAGATTGAGACCTCAAGTGCCCACTTCTCGCGGCCAAAATCCGACGCGGCCACGCACCGAATCGTTGCTCTACGCCGGTATAACCACGTAACTCCACTTTGGAATGAGCCCTGCCATCCGTATTTCTCCTTGCTTCCGAAAGCTCATGGGAAAATTAAATTAAGTTTCCTCCGCGAGAGAAGCGACGCTATATACGACCACGTGTGTCTAAGTGGCCTGCACTCCGAGGTTTATGTTGGCTCCTCTTGAGGCGATTTCCTCGAGGTTGTCCAACATTGAAGTGCTGTGAAATACAGTTCCAAACTCGGCGCCATTTTCGATATGCCGCGGAAATGTGTCCAACAATTAGGTAACTGCGGTTGCGAATACCCAAACCTGATCCGTTCGTAGTTCATCGCTGTAAGATGGGGTCCCAGAAACGCCTTCAAAGAGATCCAGATGCAAAAAGTCAAGCACGTGCACTTGTGTCCTCGCAGAGGAGTGACTTTAGGATTTAACTGCATTTCACACCACGCAATTTCCTCTAATGCTCTACTTCTTTAAATAGACAGTCAAACAGCTTGAATTCTTGATTAATTTCCTGTGGATTTCAAATATTTTGCTCGCAAAATTCCGAAGTGGTGTGTTGGTTCGTTCCCTGTTGAACAAACTAAAAAATAATAGGAAATTTGGCATTGTCTGGTGTATTGAGGCTAGCACTAGTTTAATATGTCCATTTAATGGATAAACATATAATAAATCAAAACTTTTTGGATCGTTTACAGAGGCGGATCCAGCAACTTGGCAACACCGGATTCCCTCCATTTAAACCTAGAGAAATGTATCGATTCTTGGAGGGGCCAGGTGCTCCGACAAGAATCGATTATTTAACGTAGGTTAAAATGGAGAAAAACAAACCTATGTTAAATAATCGATTCTTGTCGGAGCACCTGGCCCCTTCAAGAATCGATACATTTCCATAGGTTTAAATGGAGAAAAACAATGTTGCAAATTTGCTGGATCCGCGCCAATGGTCGTATAATTATTTCTAAAGAAGATGCACGCAAATAGTCAAATCAAGCATTTTGTCATATACCTTGGAAAATAGCCGAATATTCTTACTTAGATTTAAATCCTGATTATTTTGCTAATTTAAGACAAAATAATTCATCGATCGCGTAAGGAAGAAATGTCTGTAAAAATGTTCATCAAAGGATCGTATTTTAAACGGGTTTAAGCTCCGGACGGATATCGACGATGAAACTACCAAACCACGTATCTTGGTTTGCGACGTCGCAGACTTCCTGTCATACTTTATTTTTTAAATAGAAAATGACTCAACGTCAATTCGTGAAAACTTCCATGATTTTTCCTCTTTAAGCGGAGAAAAATCTGTTAAAATTGTAAGGAATGATATTAATTTGATCTCCTTCAAAAAAATAAAATGTGAGTGGAGATTTTTAAACACCGCAAACGAGATACGTGGTCTGGTAGTTTCACCGTCGATATGTATCTTTGAAACAGCATATCATTGAGTACAACATTTTTTTAATTTTTAACATTCAAATATATGCAAAGAATTGGAAGAAGAGGGAACAAGGGGAGTTCTTAGATTTGATCAGTCATTTTTTCCAAAATATTGACAATCCATGAGCTTTGCGTCCTAAAACAAAATTTCGTAAACTTTCAAAATTTGACTATCTGCGTGGGAATTTAAAAAAATGCCTGATTTTAATAATCACCTGCGACATACACCTATTTTCATGCACCAAGATATCGTCACTTTCCGGCCAAAGTATTAAAAGCAACGTGCAACGTGCAACGTTTCAAAATTTCCACCGCCATTTTATTTTCTTACTTTCTAAATCGTTGGTTGAATTTGCTTGAAAATTGCACTGAATTTTATCGGCAGCACAAAGAAAATTTAGTAAAATTTTCGGACAGCCTCTTTGAGCAAGTTCTCTGTAAAAAAATAAAATGGCGGCGGAAATTTTGAAATGTCACATGGCGCTTGTGATACTTTGACAGTAAGATGACGATGTGTTTGCGTCTCATGACCTTCATCGGTCTGTGCTTTCATCAGTCTACCATGCAGTTTTCGATTCCGTCAGATTTCGTTATGTGTCAGATTGACGAATAACGATCCATTAGCTCCTGATTTCCTCATAGAATGCTCGTTTGCTTTTTTTCCAGGTTGCTTACATCACGATTCCTTCTATGAGAGTGGAACCGAATGGAGGGATAAGAGTGACCCTTGCACCGTGCTGACGTGCAAAGCAGGGGTGGTGACAGAGTCTGAGATCCAATGTTACACCCCCTGTAAAAACCCCCTTCCGCCAGGCCCCGGCCAGTGCTGCCCGACTTGTCCTGGTAAGTCAATTTTACTCCATCATTCTATTAGCTAATGCTTTTTTTTGCCTTTTACATTTAGTCAGATATGGACGTATTTCTGCCAAACGGAACCATGTGCATTATGCAAAAGCTTTGATGACCCTTAAATTCTATCTCCATGTGCAAAATGTGTAACAAAGCTCTAATCCATGGTGATTTTGTTTACTTTTGTTTTCATTTTTGTATTTTTATTATACAGAAAGGCCCTTTCCTCTATGAACGACCACATTATACCGAAACGATTTCATCAATTTATTAAGAGAGAATAATCCGTTCATAAAGTGAGAGTTGCATTTCAAGTGTATTCCCAGCCACGGGTCTGCTCCAGAATTATCATTGTCGACGCGATGTCTTAGACGTACCGCGAGCTGCCGCAGGGCGCGACGTCTTAAAATGCTCGAGACGCACCGTGACAGCATAGAGCGTAAATCGGACAGAAGGCGCCCAGAATCAAAGTCGGTGAGCGGCCAGAATACACGGGCGGACACCAAACGCCGATAATAAGGAGGCATTCAGCCGAACAAAAGACCAAAAATATGATAAGTTGCCGATATGAGGCGCATACTATAATACAAAGTGCGGCAGCGTTACCAGATTTCTTAGAATCCACAATTCATTCACCAGCAGCCTAATTGTTGAAATTCTGTGTTTGTCGGGTAGACATAGACGACATAGGCTAAATGGCGAGGCGTGATTGGTCTGCTATGTCTTATCGCTGCTTTTTCGCGCTTTGTCGATCGGAATGGACGACAAACTAAAGGCACCCCTTGAGTTTCCGACAGTATGTCGTTCATTCCAACCGACAAAGCACAACGAAGCAGCGATAAGACAAAGCCGACCAATCACGCTCCGCCTTCTAACCTATGTCATCTATGTCTACCCGATAAACACAAAATTTCAACAATCAGGGTGCAGAATCGCATCAATGGGCCTGTTGCAAACTTTTGCTAGAGCAAAACTAAGTGTTGTTTCTTATAGATAATGCCTCAAAAATCACGATGAGCGCATCGGCAAACTCTGAAATGCACTCATAACTTCACAAACTGCGTAAGAAATTTGCGGTTTTTTGAGCTTCCCGCTTCAAAAACGATACTACGGCACAGGTGAACATTTTGTAAGAGGAGTCATTCCATCGTCGGCAATAATCATCATGGCCGACGCCAATCCGCCAAAACACGTTTGATGGGACGAGATAACACCTGAACTGGATTAGACCAGATAACAATCGGTGTGTTAACGTTCATATTTTCCACGCCCGAATTGATTGACCTTGAACTCTCCTTGAATTACGCGCGGAACTGCGTGCAAGCGTCGGCCATGATGAATATCGCCGACGATGGAGCGACTCCTCTAACAAAATGTTCACCTATGCTGTAGTATCGTTTTTGAAGCGGGAAGCTTAAAAAAACGCAAATTTCTTACCCAGATTGTGAAGTTATGAGTGCATTTTAGACTTTGCCGATGCGCTCATCGTGATTTTTGAGGCATTATCTATAAGAAACAACTCTTATTTTTGCTCTAGCAAAAGTTTGCAACAGGCCCATTGGCATTTTGAAAATGGGGAAAATGAGTTTAAATCGATTGGTGTAAAACTTTGTTCCTAAGGCCTTGTCTCCACGGGACGTTTTCATGGGATTTGTCCCACGTTTGAATCGCAGGAATGAAACTTCTGGGATTTTTCCCAGTTACTGTATCCACGGGACGGGGCTCGTACAGTCCTGCGACTAGTTTGCGCGGGAAGATAAAGTAGTTAAAGTCGAGTATTTAACCGGGATTATAATAATAAATGCACTCAATTGACCATTAGACACACTATTTTAACTAAACAAACATTAACAATGTAGTAATGAATAAAATATAGCACAGTTCGTTTTTACTTCTTCTTCTTCTCTCAGTGGGTCCTAGGGGTACAAGTACCATACTTGGTACTGGGAAAAATATTGATTAACTCAATATTTTTCCCAACTTCGTAAGTGGGATTTTTCCTTGGGACAAATCTCTTGAAACGGCTCGTGGAGACAAGGCCTAACATTGAGTCTCGGAAGGTACAAATTTCGCACTTTTCCTCGCTTCATTTGACGACTTGGTTCGTTTCTGTTCACCGTGTTCTTTACCGTCTCTGTTCTGGAGGTTCGTTAAAACTCCTTGAAAAACTTAAAAAAAGCTCGGCAGTCAACTGATGATGGTGGCCCGGGTAGCCACCGAAACGCGCCCGATAAATAATTAGTAAATAAAAGCGTGAGTTTTTTTTTTTTAAATTTTTCAAGAAGTTTTAATACAACAGCTTTCACTGTTTATAAACATTTCGACCGTTTTATCAACATCCGGAGGTTTAGTTGGCTAACAAATAGGGACTTTTCCTGCGAGACGGCACCCCTGGCCTCTGGTGGCGAGTGTGGGAAACTATGCGGGCACGGGAGCCGTCATTGATGCCGCCGCACGCCGCGCCGCGCTGAAAACAAAACCGAAATTAAAACTCATCGGGTTAATATTAATTAGACGGGAGCCCACGAAGCGTGGCTAATCGACCTAGCAGGATCCATCGATTCAGAGTCCAATCCTGCCCTCTTGAGTCAGAACACCGTATGAGCCTCCGAACGTAGCCAAATTTCATTCAATAAAAAAACGAATTTTCCGAGAAACTTGTTAAAAATTTTCTTGTATGTATGAAGCCGCTTTTATAGCGCTCTCCTGGCGCTCTGCGACACCTACCCGCCAAAGTTCCCTATCCTCCCCAAGCCCTTCAGGGAGTTGGGAAACCCTCATTTTCTTTTTCATTCAAAATTTTTCTTTCAATGGTGAAATTGCACACTGTAATAAAAATCCGTTTTCGTTGCTTCTCTTTCTTTTTTAGTGTTTAGTAACCTGAGTTCGTAGTATTTTTTATACATGTTTTCCAATTAGGGAAATTGTGCGAAAATAGATTCAAAAGAAGTGAGCAAAATTCACCGCTTTGTGACGTCAACCAGCGGTGTATCCCATTTAAACACGCATGCACTTTAACAGATTAGGTTATTTTATCATATCACCCCCAATAATTGTTTAATTTAGAAACCACGAATATTCTAGTGCTCAATCCTCTAAGAAGTTTCATCATAATTATGAAATTCATAAACTTTTAGGCACCTGCAAATTCTCCATTTCCATAGAACTGTAATAGGAAAATTAATATCTAAGAATTCCAAGCAAAAGAGCTCGTATATACCGTATAACTTTACACATTTTTTTGTCTTAAAAATATAAATATCTATTTCTCGGAGGAAATTTAGCCACATTGGAATGTTTATACGGCGTTTTAACGTACCACGACGCACAGTTACGCAGTCGCGCGGTGCGCTTTCAACGCATGCGCATAACATCAATGGGCCTGCACAATGCTTTAATGAGAGAGATGTCTCCAAAAGGGAACAAACATGCCCATTTTCATTTATGAGATCTGGGTTACATTAGGAAACTTGCATTTGGAGGATCATCCGGTACAATGATATGGTCCCTTCTAGAAACTACTTTTTCGAATGAGCGCTCTGATTGTTGTGTGTCCACGCGCCTCCGGCCAAATTTTCGCCCCTCTGACTGATTTTTTTCGAGAGTATCGATCCATCGAATGGATTCGACTTTCCTCCAAAAAACAGGACCTACGAATCAAAATCGAACCGACAGCACGACAGTGAATCTTTATCCACCGTCTGATTCGTAGATTTCGTTCAATTTCCACATTCAAATTGCAAGTTCACAATAGCTCTACGTCACGTGCTCTTTTACCAGTTTGCGGTTGAAGTGCGAAAAAACAAAAAATGTTTATGGTTGGCATCTCAATAAAATCTGAGCCTTCTTTAAAATCATAGATAACCTCGCGTTTTTTCGCGCTCTTAACTTAAGCGCTCTTTCAACTCAAAACAATGCGAAGGAAAATGGAAGAATATACGAAGTTGGGTTCAAACGCAAGATACAACTATTTTAACTCTGAAGAGGACCGGGTTGCATACGCTAGATTTTGCAGGCGAAATCTGAGATCTGCCCACGATCCACGCGTGCTTGCGATTTACGGCTCTATATAGAAAATGGAAGAATATACGAAGTTGGGTTCAAACGCAAGATACATCTATTTTAACTCCGCGGCGGACCGGGTTCCATACGCTAGAGTTTGCAGGCGAAATCTGAGATCTGCCCACGGTCCACGCGTGCTTGCGATTTACGGCTCTAGCTATGTAGAGAACACGTGCCATGGGTGCTCTTGACTAGCGTCTGTGACCTGACCCACCGTCGAGTTAAAATGCCTGCATGTTGTGTTCAAACCCAATTTTGTATATTCTTAACGCTCAATGCATAATTCAAATACCAAGTTCGTCTTTCGGAAAGCATCACAGTCCGTTAATATCGCGTCATAAGTCTGTGCGACAGGAGCGTCCAAACAGTTGACCTATATAGACGTTACACTCGAGGAAAACACTAGTCGCATCTGTGCCTTATCGCGAAAGGCATGGGCAGATCTCAGATTTCGCCCGCACAATCGAGCTTATGCAACCCGGGCCACCACGGCGTTAAAATAGTTGAATGTTGCGTCCGAACCCAACTTCGAATATTCTCATTGTTATACTATACGCTCGGCGCATTATTCAAATGCCGAGTTTATTTTTCGGAAAGGCATCTCAGTTGATTCATAATGCGTAATTTTGTTTGAATGATGTTATCTCTGGTCACTGAGGAGCCTAGAGGAAGGTATACGGAATGCTTCCTAGTCCGAAAGGGGTAATGGAAAATGACGAAAGGCTGATCTCGAATTTCGCCCGCAAAATTGAGGGTATGCAACCCGGCCCATTACGGAGTTTAAATAGTTGCATCTTGGGTCCGAACCTAACTTAGTACACTATTTCATTTGTTTCACGCTCGGTGCATCATTCTAATGCAGAATTTATCTTTCAGAAAGGCATCTCAGTTGCTTTACATCGCACTATTTTGTGCGTAATTTTTTTCCTCAG